AGGCTTAACCCATTGAGCCACCTAGGCACCCCACAAATAATCCTAAAATTTGTATGGAACCACAAAGCAATCTTGAAAAAGAAGAACAAAGTTGGAGGTATTGTAGTCCTAGATTTCAAGATGTACTACAAAGCTATGGTAATCAAAACAGTATTGTACTGGCACAAAAATAGACACATAGATCAATGGAACAGACTAGAGAGCCCAGAAATAAACCCATGCTTAGATTTTCAATCTGCAACAAAGGAGGCAAAAATATCCAATAGGAAAACTGGACAATGACATGCAAAGAATTAAACTGGACCACTTACTTACACCATACACACAAATAAACTACAATCATTAAAAACCTAAATATGAGACACGAAGCCATAAAAGTCCTAGAAGAGAACACAGGAAGTAATTTCTCTAACATCAGCTGTAGCCACATTTTTCTAAGCATGTTTCCTAAGGCAAGGAAAACAAAACCAAAAATAGACTGTTGGGAATACATCAAAATAAAAGGCTTTTCACAGCAAAGGAAACCAATAAAACATAAAGGCAACCTACTGAATGGGAGAGGATATTTGCAAATGATGAATTCAATAAAGGCTTAATATTCAAAATATATAAAAATTTATTCAACTCAACACCAGAAAACCTCACAAATAATCTGATTTAAAAATGGCAGACACTTGAATAAACATTTTTGTAAAGAGGACATAGAGTTGGCCAAGAGATACATGAAAAGCTGTTTCATATCACTATTCATCAGAGAAATGCAAATTAAAACCATAATGAGATATTACCTCACACCTGTCAGAATGGCTAATATCAAAAAGACAAGTGTTGGCAAGGATATGGAAAAGAAGGAATCTTCATGCACTGTTGGTAGGAATGTAAATTAGTGCAGCCACTCTGGTAAGACTTGTGGAAGTTCCTCAATAAATTAAACATAGAAATACCATACGATCCAGTTATTGCACTACTGGGTATTTACCAAAAGCAAATGAAAACACTAATTTGAAAAGATATATGCACTTCTATGCTTATTGCAGCATTATTTAGTAGCCAAGACATTGAAGTGACCTAAGTGCTCATTGAGATACATGTAGTGGAATGTTACACAACCATAAAAAGGATGAGTTCCTGCCCTCCAAATGGTGTTTTCATATTGCAGGTTACTTAAAGAAAGGGAAGCAAAGCTGTTCCGCACTCCTTAAATTGTTTTTTCCTTTCCCATCCTTCCTCCTCCTTTCCTTATTTACAACCTCCATTTTTGAAAAAGAGATGTTGGTAAAGGGTGGGAAAAAGAAATGTGTGGTCCAGCAGACACATTTCTCTTTGCTCTGTGTGTAATTTTAATGAAAGTCTAATTGCAAAGGTTTTGTTCACTTTTGAAAAGTACACTTTTCAGATGAACTTATTCAGAACAAACATTGACCAAACATTCTACATTTTTAGTTCTTTTTGTCCACTGAGCCAAGAAATTCTCTCACAGCATTCCCATGTCCTCCTTCTTCCTAGCTACAAAAGAGGAGGACATTGCTGCTAATAAGCAAGATAGTGAAGGATCAGAAAAAGAGGTGGAAGGAATAACCAAAGGGGGTAAGGGGAGGAATACTCTTCCTTGGCTAGCTAGATACTAACACACACTACTCAGTTTACCTGCTTTGTATTCCACTCTTCAGTTTCCTTCAACCCCTTGACCTGACATTGCTGACGGAATAGTTTTGTGTCACCTTCCAACTGCCTGAGCCCAAGACTTCCTATCTCAATATTCCATCCATGTCCAATGCCTCACTGACTGTGGCTTGATTTTCTTTCACTTGAAAACTAAAGCATCCTAACAGATAGAGGACACTTTGTGTTTTATATACTTATGTATTTTGATTCTTTACAACAAACATGTATTTCTATTTTAAGTATTAATAACTACTGTTTAGGGTGCCTGGCTGACTCAGTTGGTTAAGCGACTGCCTTCAGCTCAGGTCATGATCCTGGAGTCCGGGGATTGAGTCCCTCATCCGGCTCCCTGATCAGCAGGGAGTCTGCTTCTCCCTCTGACCCTCTCCCCTCTCATGCTCTCTCTCTCAAGTAAATAAAATCTTTTAAAAAGTAACTACCATTTAACTCATAGTCCTTAAGACTCTATAAGGCAGCTATTGTTCTTTTCTCCATTTTACAGATGCTGAGTCTGAGGCACGGAGAGGTTTAGTAACTTGACAAAAGTCAAGTAAAAAGTAAATACGTAAATGGTGGAGTTGAGCTTCCTACCCAAGTGTTCTGGTTCCAGAGTTTGCGTTCTTATTCGCTTCACTAAGTTGCCTCTTTTTATAAATGCAAATATAAAAATAAAGAAAAAAGGAAAGCGAATGCAAAATTCTCCCTTGGCATTCCTACTGCCGCCACCACTATTTTTCAGATGTCCATCATCTTGTGTTTAGACTAGGCATCTTCCTCTCATGCCCTGTCTCACATCCTCTCAGCCCTCCATTCTGCCAGGTTGAACCGATAAGCACTTGTCTATGCTGTGCTATATCTCACTTTCTGTCGTAGGCCTGTGGAAGAGTTGTTGGATGGGTAGTTAGATAGAGATGTAATGAGGCAGAAATAGCAAAGTGTGAATTGTAGAAATCTAGGTAGTGTGTATATGGGGGCTCACTGTACTATTCTTTCAACTTTTCTGTATATTTGGATATTTTCATAGCAAAATTTGGGGGAAAGTATGAATCAACTTGAATAATATGGACAAATGTACAAGTATTAAAAATAAATTATCAAAATATTTCTTTGGTACAAAATTACAATTTGGACACATGCTAAGGGTGTGAATGTAATTTTATGGATTAAAAAATCAAATGTAAACTGGTCTATTGAAAATATCCACGATTTGGGGCACCTGGGTGGCTCAGTGGGTTAAAGCCTCTGCCTTCGGCTCAGGTCATGATCCCAGGGTCCTGGGATCGAGCTGCACATCGGCTCACTGCTCAGCGGGGAGCCTGCTTCCTCCTCTCTCTCTCTGCCTGCCTCTGCCTCTCTGCCTACTTGTGATCTCTGTCTGTCAAATAAATAAATAAACTAAAAAAAAAAAAAGAATACCGAGTGTGGCAATTTTGTAAGGTATATTTGCAACTAAAAACATAAAATAATTCCTATTTTAGGAGCTTGTCCCTATGCCATCATCTTCCTCTACAACCTTTCTGAGTTTTTTCCTTCATAGCGTATTACCTCATATTTAACTTGTACCCTATTAGTTAAATGAGGAAAACTGACATTTTAGACTGAAATAATGCCTAGGTAACCTGAACACTGACTGCCTTAACAATTGTTTTCTGGTCTGTCCTCTTCTTAACCCAGCATCAAGGCCATCCTGAAACCAGTAGCAAAGAGGTCAAGAGATGAGGGTAGGTGGTGGAAGTTGGAGCTTGGGGTTAGGGAGAGATAACTAATTTTGGAGGTTGGCAAGGAAACAGAAGAGATTATCAACAGCCTCAGGAAAGCAGGAAAGGACTTGGTAACCTGATAACGAGTACCAGAAATCTGGACTGGGTGGAAGTGGGAGGGATAGAGTGGGTGGCCAAGCTGGGGCTGGGGAATTGTACATAATATTCTCTTGAGGGGAAAAAAATGTTTCAGGGACAGCCTGAGCCCCTCAGTCATTAAGCATATGCCTTTAGCTCAGGTCAAGATGACCCTGTCCTGGGATCAGCCTCACTTGGGCTCCCTGCTCAGCGGGGAGCCTGCATCTTCCTCTCGCTCTGCCCTGCTACTCCTGCTCTCTCGGCTCTACGTCAAATAAATGAAATCTTTAAAAAAATGTTTCAGGAAATGTTTCATTTCTACTGTCCCAATTTTAAGATCGCTCCCATCAGTACCTGAGCAAGTATTGAAAATGTGCTGGCTCTGAAGAATTATGAGAATATTTAAACAAAAGAAAACCACACAACAAGTCCCCTACATACACATACCCCACCATTTATTTGAGAATTTTGTCCCACCATATTCCACATTCTTTCTTCTTAAATTTAAGACTTGATTTCTTTCTGGATTGCCTATACAAAAACATAAAGCACTTTATTACACACCCATCCCTACCCTGTTAAAAGCGGGGGAAACCTGATATTCACACCACCAAAGGACACTCAAGATATCCTGAATCCTTCTTGCATCAAAAATGACTGTATTTCCTGATCGCATTTTAACCTGGGGCCGAGGTAAAGTGGAGTGAGAAAGATCCAGAATTAGGTAGGGAAAAGAGGTTGGGACACGCCGAGTTTTTGTTTTTTGTTTTTGTTTGTTTGTTTTTTGTTTTGTTTTGTTATTCCTACAATAATCATCCTCTTTTAGACATTAAACATTTTTAGTACTTGCTCCAAATCACTTAGCAATTTTAGAAGTTGTAGTGAGATTGACATTTTGGCCAACGTATACAGAGAAGCTAGCTTAGCCCCTCCTCAAAGGGGGTGAGGGAGAAAGAGAAGTAATCTTGTATAGTTTATAAAAACGAGAAGTGGAAAAAGGCTGGTAGCGGGGGGAGTGGGGGATGAGGGGAATGCGCAAAGAATCAGACAAGCAGGAGCGACGGCAGAGGGAGCGGCTGGTCAGGAGGAGTTGATCGCTTTATTCAGGAGCACGAAACCGCGAAATTGTTCTGCGGCCGGTGGAGGCGCAGGTTTTTCCGTGAAGTGTTAGCTCTGCGGACCCGCCCTCAGAGCGACAAACGGGTGCGCGGGTGCTGTGGATTAAAAGAAAACGCAGCCGTGGAGCGATCCCAGGATCGGGGTCGAGTATGAAAAGGGGGGCACGTCTAACGGGACCTGTGGTCCCTAAGAAGCGAAGCGAGGCGCGACAACTCTCCCCTCTCCCGGACACCAGGAGGACGGAGACAGCAACAAGACCGCACCGGCAGCCGCTGTCAGGCGCCTTTAGGTGACGCGACGGCCGCGCGATGACGCGCTGACCAGCCGTGGCCGACACGTCTCAGGTTCCGCAAAGGCCTGTGGGAGCGACCCGGGAGAAGGAGGGCCAAGATGGCGAAAGCGGCCGAGTCTTCAGGAGACCCGGGGACAGCATCGCCCAGGCCCCTGGTGAGCTTGGGTTCTGAGGCAAAAGGGACTGAGGGTGAGGCAGAGTGCTCTTAAGGAAGTCGGATGATGGGCTTCCTGGCCGGAGAAGGCTGGAACTCCTTCCTCTCGGTAGGCCCATCCTATACCCGATGCCAGAACCAGTCTCAACATTGCACCCTTAGGGCTAACCTCTTTACCCTCCTCGTTCCTTCCACGCCTTCTTGTGAAACTCCTATTCACTTTCTTCCCCCATACTCTCAGGGCTTGTCCTCCTCCCGTACATTGTGTAAATGCCGAGCTTTAGGTGATTTCTTAATTATCTTTTTTTCTGCTGCCCTTCATGTTATCAAGTTCTGTCACTAGTTGTTGTTGGAGTAACAGCATTCTTGGATTAATGAGACTGCTTCCCATAGGACCTTATAACTTGATTATTGATTTGTTCAATGACCTCAGTAGTCTCGATTTAATCCCTGTTCTCCGTGTCGCAGCTCCTCGCAGTGCTCTTCATAATGCTATCTCGCTCCTGTCTCTACGGGGGGGGGGGGTACGAATTCCATTGCAAGTACAAGCCCAAAGCCTGGGCAAGTATTACTTAAAGACACAAGTTTTGGAGTTAAAATTACCTGGGTTAGAATCACCTGCTTTGCCTCTTATGAGAGTTAGGGCAAATCATTTCATGGGGAGTGTTTCTTCATCCATAAAATGGATATAAAAATACCTGCCGAAAAGAGTTTTTAGGAAGGTGAAATGATATAATTTAAAGTGCCAAACACAGTGTCATGAACTGAGGAGTGTAATTATCCAATGTTCTGCTCTAAAATCCCTCTTCCCAAATGGTGTTCAGTTTCTTCGCAGTTGTTTAATAAATGATACATCCCTTTCCTCTTTTAAATTGGCAAATTAACAGCAGAGGACTGAACTGGGAGTCAGGTGAAATTGCTTCTAGTCCTGGTTCTACTTACTAGCACTATTTTTTCATCATTCACTCAACAAATATTTATTGAGCATCTATGTTCCAGGCATTCCTTTAGGCACTGGGGATGCAGCAATGAAAGAGAGTGAGTGGGTCCAAGTTCTCATGGAACAATTGTGACCTTGAGGAAGTCACTCTCAACCCGTTTCCTCATTTGGAAAATGGGATAGTAACTCATCACAGAATTAATGAGATTACTAATGAGCTATTATACACACAATGTATAGTGACATAGTTACAAGTGCTTAGCTGTTTTAGTTCCTGTTCCACCCCTTTTTTTATGATGTTTTCCCCCAATTAATTTTAGTGGTTCTGGTCATTCATTACTCAATGTCCAGTCCAATTCTATTCAGTAATGTTTATTAAACTCCCACAATGCAGTGCATTATGCTAGCTGTTTTAGGGCATACAAATGGCTTGCCCTTATGGTGCCTACAGTCTACTATGACAAATGTACAATGGTAAAATAATGTAGTAAATCAGAAAGAGTTACACATAAAATATTAACAAAATTTAAAGGGAGTTGCTATTATGTCCACTTGGGGTGACAAAGCAAGCTATGCAGTAGAAGTAGTATTTGAGAGGGTGTCAAAGGGTGGGTAGGATTTGAAATTTCAGGTGAGCGTAAGAGCTGTCAATGATCGAGCACCTGCTGTGTGCCAGGATTGTACTAGACATCCTCAGCATTTTTTCTAAACTTCACAGCAACCATTTCACTTAGGTGGTTTTTAAACTGTGTTTTACTTGCAGATGAGGACAGGAGACTCAGAGAGGTTTTATGATTTCCCTAGGGTCTTAGAACTAGTTAATGGCCAGGCCTAAAATTTGAAACTAGGTCTGCTTCTGAAGCCCAGATTATTTCCATTAAGACTACACAACCTCTCAAGGGTGAGGGTACAGAAGTTGGGAAGTGTTAACATATTTATAGAACAACAGGTAGATCACTTTTGCTAAAGTACAGGGAAGTCTTAGGAAGTAAGCCTTAAAAAAATAAAGCTACTGAATTAGGGAGGCACTATGAAACAGTGTTTAAGAATTTGTGCACTGGGGTCAGATTATCTAAGTTTGATTCTCAGCTCTGTCATTTAACCTCTCCATGCCTCAGTTTCCCCATCTATAGAATGAAGATACAGTAATAATTCGCTCATAGAGTTGTTAGGTGGATTAAATGAATTAAGACATGAAAAACACTTGGTAGAGTGCCTGGCATGTAATGATCATACAATAAGTGTTATTTCTTCTTCTTGACTAGTAAGCTTGGAGGTTTAATAGGCAATGAGGAACCAGTGGGAATTTTTGAGGAGGGAAGGGTTTAAAATCATGAATTTGACAACATAACTGAGGGAGAGTTACCATGAGGAATGTTTGGAATCTAGACCAGCGAAACCAGTAGTTCTAGAACAAGTGATTGCTACCTGCACTATAGCAGTGGTGGAGTCATGAGTACTGGAGACAGGAATGTTACTTGAGGGTTTGGAGTGCTAGGGAGACTGTGTCTTGGATCAGAGCTTTTTTTTTTTTTTTTTTTGACACAGAGAGATCACAAGTAGGCAGAGAGGCAGGCAGAGAGGCTCCCTGCTGAGCAGAGAGCCCGATGCGGGGCTCGATCCCAGGACCCTGAGACCATGACCCGAGCCGAAGGCAGAGGCCCAACCCACTGAGCCACCCAGGTGCCCCGGATCAGAGCTTTTTGAACTATAATGTGCCTAGCAGTCATCTGGGGAATCTTGTGAAGTTGCAGATTCTGATTTGGTAGATCTGAAATGAGACCTAAGATTCTGCATTTCTGACAAGCTCCCAGGTGATACTGCTGCTGCTACTGCTCCCATACCACATTGTGAAAAGCAAGGCTATAGACAAATGGGAGCATACTGATGCCCCTGCACAGAAATACATAAGAGGAGGATGAGGACCCCAAAAGTTCACTAATTCACTTTTGGACGTGTTTAGTTTGAGATATCGGCAGGCCATCCAATAGGCAGTTTGTCTAAAACCTGGACTTCAGGGCTCAGAAGTCAGGACTAAGTTTAATTAGGAGTCCTTTGCATAGAGTTGAGAAGATAGTCTTTGGTAATGCTTATCTATTGTTTGTCTGTTTGGAGAGCAGGAAAAAGAGCTGTAATAATGGCTTTAGCCTGAGGTCTGGAAGGATGTTGGTCTCAGGTAAAGGGGCTGGCTGGATAGCACACCAGCAGTCACCCCTCCCCACTTCTTGAAGCCAAGCCTCTTGGTCTGAGCTGGTTTCTTCTTTTTTTTTTTTTTTTTAAGATTTTATTTTATTTATTTATTTGACAGAGAGATCATAAGCAGGCAGAGAGAGAGGAGGAAGCAGGCTCCCCGCTGAGCAGAGAGCCCGATGCGGGGCTCGATCCCAGGATCCTGGGATCATGACCTGAGCCGAAGGCAGCGGCTTAACCCACTGAGCCACCCAGGTGCCCCATGAGCTGGTTTCTTCTTGATGCCCCCCTCCCCACTTATTGACTCTCTTCTCTAGGATTTTGGTCGGTAGTATAACCCATTTGGACCCAGCTGCTCTCTTAAGGCTGCAGTCCCTGCTTTTACTGTATCTTTTTGGCCCTGCCTCTATCTGTCCCCTCATTGGTCCAAGCCAGACAGCGAAGTGTACACATGGGTTTCTGTGCACACATGTGCATACATGTGCAAGAGCCTACCTGCACAAGGAGAAGGGAAGGGACATTGGCTCCAAGTCACCTTTCATCTGCACTGAGAGGCTAATCAGAGAGCAAGGTCCACTAGCTGAGGGCCTAGAAGCCCTGTTTGTTATATGCGGGGCTTGAAGTCCACAGATCCTGGCTCAGCTCTCTGAACCGTATCACTAATTCTCCTGAAAAGAGTTACTGAGGAAATGTTGGGATGAGGGATATGATAGGATCCACATGGCACTATAATGATTGCAGTGACTTAGAAAAGCAATTACCTGGAGTTAGGCCGAAGTTCACAGGATAAGGGCACAGTCTTCTCACGACTGCCCTTACTTCATACACCAGCCACAGGTTTGGATGTTCCCAGGACCACCCTTACTTCTGACTTACTGGCTGCAAATTCAGGGGTTCCCATGATCCCCTCGAGCTCCATACTTCACTAGAATGGTTCATAGAATTCAGGATAGTACTATGCTTAAAATTATAGTTTCATTATAGCAAAAGGATACAATCCAAACCAGCAAAAGGGGGAGATGCATACGGTGAGGCCTAGGAAGGTCCCTAACCCAAAGCTTCCTTGTCTTCTCCCTGTGGAGTCAGGACCTTGTATCCACTGATACATCAATCTGTGGCAATAGGCAGAATATTGCCAATCAGGGAAGTGCACTCATGTATCGAGAGTCTTTATTAGTGTTTCTTTCTGTAGGCTTGATTGACTAGATTATTGACTCCTCCCCTCCCTGGAGGCCAGGTTTAAGTCACTGGAGTCAAAGGTTCAACCCTCTAAACTTGTGTTTTGTCTGTCTGGAATGGTTTGCCCCCATGCTGAGTCATCTCATTAGCATAAAGTGTCTAGGGGCCTACCATGACTCACCTGTTAGTTAAACTGTTAGGGCCCACCATGAGTAACAAAATTAGCACTATCATTTAGGAAATTCGAAGGGTTTAGAGGCTACCTTCCAGGAACAGGAGACAAAGGCCAGCCAAATTCTTCATTATGCAAGTGACAGAACTGGAATTAACCCCCTAGGCATCTTGAGCTAGAGCTAAGATGTATCTAGCCCCGCTGTGAGCCTCCTACTGAGTGCTTTATGCATAGTAATACATTTCTTCCCACAACAACCCTGTGATGATGATACTATTCTCTCAGTTTTATAGATGAGGAACTGAGGTATAGAGAGGTCAAGAAACCTGCTCAGTGTCACATAGGTAGTTGGTGATAGAGCTGGATGGCTTCCTGCAGCACTCTTAACCAGTACTCTTCAAATATCATATATCGAGGGTTGACCACGGGCTAGGTGAAATGCTGCTCTTACCTAAATCTTATGATGGTGTTGTCTCCAAGTGAGGGCAGAGCCGAATTAGGCTTTGAAGCTCATTCCTTC